AAGGTAACACCTCAGGGGACTTACTAAGGCCCATAAAAGAAATCAGAGGAACTGCAGTCAGGGCTCCAGGAAATCACAATTACAGGAATGGGGGCAAGCATCAGCATTTGTTGGCCAGTTGGTCTACACCAGGCACGAATCTCTAATCTCCTTGGCCCTGAGGAGGGTATTGCTCCAGACAAAGGTGACTGGGAAGTCTTTACCTTCTGGGACACTCAGTCGCCAGTGGTGGTAACTCACTGGCCATGGGCTATGTGACAGAAGCTACCTAACAGCCTGCAGACCAGGAAGTGGCAACTGTGGCGGTCTTAGCTTCTTAACACAGTCCACTTTCATTTACCAAGAAAGTACGGTGCCAAATGATCTGAGGTCTTCTACCTGTGAAAAGACAGTGAGTCGCCCCCTACATCCGGGAGTACCAGCATCTATAAATCTCCCTCCCACGGGGCAGATGATGACTGCCACCGCCCACTAAGATTCCTACAGATGGACTCACACATGCATAGACTAGGTCTTGGAGTCTCTGGAGTCTCTCTTCCCAGAGTCCTCGTGCTGATTGTCCATCCAACGCTCTGAGCCAAACAGCAGGCTTACTGTGTTGACAAGCTGGTGCAGCAAACTCCCTTGCCCACACCCAGAGCGTGCTGACAGGAGTCAGGTGGTCCAGATGCCATCCATCTTTAGCCAGGACCATCCCCTGGTGTTTGCTCATTTCTCAACAAAAGCAGACTTTGAGTTAAGGAGGGCCGTAATCCTTAAAACTTACTAAGTTATCCTGAATTTAAAGACAAGGAATCCAGAGGATTTTCCACACCCAAAGATGGTGGCTGAGAAGTTGCACCGATTCTAACCCATTCTGGTCAGCTGCACCCCTCCCGTGATGTTATTAATCATGATAAAGGCTGGCAACTGCTGCAGGTTTCTGGATGACAAGCACAGTGCTTGGCACCTCCCACGCTGCTTCATGTAATCCCCTCAGCGACACTGTGAGATTGTCCTTAAATTTACAGGTGAGGGTTGAAGTGCAATCAGTAAGGAAACACATTCAAGCCAGGGTCACATGGTTTGTTCCTAAGTACAAGAGCTGGCATTCGGAGTGTGGTGTCTGCCTCTCTAAGTTCTTAACCATCCCACTCCTGGGCTGAGCAAAATAAGACATGTCCAGTAATTAAACGCTAGTTCTTCTGGGTCCTGGCCGAGGCAAAAACAACTCTCTAGGTAGGGAAAGGGCATAGCGACTCCACTGTCACGTCATCAAAGGTTTTCAGAGTCTTTGCCTTGGCCTTGTCAGTTTGGGGATTCGGTTTGGATCAGTTTCCGGGAGAGGAACAGGTTCAGGCAGTCTGATGGAGGATGACTCAGTCCACAAGGGACCGAGCCAGCCCAATTAATTGATTCACCTGAGAGATAGTACTGCCCAGGAAGACTGTGGCCAAGAGCACTGGCTTTGGAGTAGGAGGCAGCTGGGTTTGACGTTCTCGCCATCACTTCCTGGCCCGGTGAGTCAGACGTCCCATTCACTCTTTGCCTCCTATCACCAGACACTGAAGATGGGGTGAGAAGTGGCGTCTTGTGTGATGACTGAGCCTTAAACAGAACGTGGTGCATAAGATGGCTGGTAGGGGTGGTTGGTGTTTAGTAGATGCTCAATACAGGGCCATACTTACAGTCGTCAATGTGAATTTTGTTTGGTTTGGAAGCTAGGTTTGGCCATTAAATAAAATCTCTTCTGGCCAGTGGGTAGGTCCTACTCCCAAAAAAAAGAACAAAGGAAAAAAATCTCGTCAGGAGGGTACTTGGAGAGCTCCACTCAGTGGAGGGCACTGAGCCCTCAGCCTCTCGTAGATGAACTAGCAGCTCCCACCCCTTGTCCTGTCATCCCTAAGCATTTCTCTTCAAATGTCTCGGAGCTGCTCGGAGTAGCACTGACCAGTCCTGACCTATACCACCTCTCCCTCTAGCTTCCTCTCTGTGAAGCCCTGATCATGCATACCTTTGTCTGTGGGTCTATCCCAGCTGACCATGGGATAACCACATGCTGACCAGACATAAGTACATCTCAGGTACAGAGTCACAGCCGTGAGAAACTCAGCTGATTTCTCTTTCTGAGCTTTCCCTCTAGTGGGGCAAGAAAAGGGCAAGGGAACAAACCCGATCGTTACAGCTTCTGCCAATTGTGTGGGTGTGTGTGTGTGGGGGGGGTGATAGCGTGGTGTAATAGGGAACCCAGGAGGGGAAAGGGACTAGAAAAGGCCTCTGTGCAGAGGTAGCATTTAGCCTAAGGCTTGAAGGACAAGGGGGAGCCATCCCTGCCAAGATCTGGGAACAGAGGGTTCCTGGCGCACAGAACAGCTTTTCCCTTCAGAGCAGGGAAAGAACTTGATGTGTTTCTTCTCATGATCCGACCAGGATGGAACAGATGGTGGAAGAGTGGAGGAGGAAGAACCCTGGCAATCGAAGGCCACTTCCCTCCTCTGTGCGCTGTGCACCCAGCTGGATGCTGGATGTCGAGTCAGACTCCTTGACATTTATTGAACACCTACTCTGTGCTGAGCACTGTGCCGGCGCGTCCCTCCTGCTCTCTCATTAAAGCCTCCATCTCCCAGCCACCCGTCCCTGTACACAAATGTCCCGGGGTATCCCCTTGTCCTCAGTTCTCTGAGGGGTTTTGTGTTCTCCGCCCAGCCTCCTCCCTGATGAGCCCATTAGCTCTCCTCTCAGGCTTCTTGGCATCTCTGCACATCGGAAAAAAAGGTGTTGTCAGGTTTGCAAAGTTTCTGACAGTTAGGCCCTTTCCCTTTTCCTCCGGCAGCTATAGCTACAGGAGATGATAATAAGAGAAATAGATGCTTTTCAGATCAAGTTTGTAGAAACACAGTGGGTGCCTTGTTGCCATGGCTGATTTGATAGTAGCCCTGATGAGTGTGTTTTAGGCCAGCAGGTTCTTGGTACTCCACACAGTGGCCTATCACACACTTTATGTGTTAGTATCTACGATAGGAAGTGAGAATTCCAGACTGGCCTCCAGTGGAGCAAGGTGGTCTGGACAGGCCACGGAGACTACGCTGCCTAGAGAGGAATGAGTCCATCTGTTCTATACTTCACCATTAGGAACCCACCGTGACCTCTACGGACCTTGTGGTAGAAATCCTAGCAGACAGAAAGAGGGGAGGACCTCCAATATGGTTTTCATCTTTAATTTTTTTCTTTTTTTTTTTAGCACATGATTATAAAGAATGCTGTTTTTAAAGGGTCATTTGAAAGAAAGTGAAGGGGGGGAAATACTGACAAAGGGCTTGCAGGGATGAGCGGGGAATGTGATCAGCAGAAAGCTTTTCGAGATGGGTGTTGTGGGAGATTACTGCCTCTTGTTAGGGGCCTAGAGCAATTGCTTCATTCACGACGTGAGCAAGCCCTGGGGCTAGGACCAAGTCCAGAAACTGAGTGAGGTATGTGGGGGAGAGGGCGCAAAACAGGACTGTCAATATGGAGATGCTAATCAAAGTTCAGCAAGCAACCCAGGACTCCAGCCGCGAGAGGCCACTGAGATGTCACACGGCATGGAAAAATACTGGCCTTGGGTTGGAATCAGAGTCTAGTCTGATCTCTGCCATTGATTAACTGTGTGACTTGGATCACTGTTTCTGAACCTGCTTTCTCAATTGCACAAAGGGGGTTACAACTTCTAAACCTCAAACTGTAATATGTAATAAGATGTGCAAAGCTATTTTAAATTGAAGCTAAGAAGTTTTTTCCAGGCGCTCCTTGTACTCGGCTTTCCTTCCTTCCTGCACATTGTTATCTTCCCACAACCCGTGACCTTAGGCGAAGGACAAGCTTCCAATTTTACAGTTCCTAAAGAACTTTGTCAAATGGGGTTTCAGGCTGTGGGACACCCAAAGAAGCATTGCTCAAAGGGAAAAGTGTTATCTTAAATCAACATCTCTTAAATAATATGGCCATGTCAGATTTTTACAAATATCTCACAGGGACATTGGTGTAGCTTGCTATTTTAGTTTGATTATCAAGAAAGAAAAAAAATGTTTGTTACTTAAAGCAATGAAGAGGTGGTCATGTTATTATGGTCACTGGAAAGGGGGTATCTGGATTTTTCCCACCATTTCCAACTTGACATTTCCTCCAAAGCCAACTCGAGAGTTTCCTTTGAAAGTGTTAACAGAAAGCATGCTGCCCAGGAGGGTAGAAGAGGCCACCTGACCATTTTTCCAGTGCTGCTTAAGTGGCATCAGTGCCCCTCTGAGAGAACTTCAAGCTGAGGGTGAGGAACTCATGGTGACGTAAGGAGCTGGACTTGCCAGGTTGGTCCAGTACCTTCCATATCCTCGGCCTGCATCTGCAGACAACTGAGCCAGGCATCCTCAGGGAGTCAGGATGGGGATGTGCTGGGAGCAGATGCTTTCTTCCTCCCCAAACCACCCAATTAAAGTGCAGAGATCAGAAGCGGATCAAATTTGCAAACTATGTTACAGTGTATTCTTATTGCTGTGACAAACCACTGCAAACTGGGTGACTTATAAACGAGAGAAGTTGATTTCTCACTGTTCTGAAGGTTGGGATGTTTGCCATCAAATTGCCAACAGATTAGGTGAAGGAGGGTTTTTTGGCCCATAAATGTTGGATTCATGTTGTGCTCACATGATGGGGGGGGGGGGGGACAAAAGAAGATCTCTGGGGGTTTCTTTTATAAGGACTTCAATTCCATTCCCTAGGGCCCCACCTCACTATCCAGTCACCTGCCAATAGGCCAGCTCCTCATATCATCACAATGGAAGTTGGGTTTCCACGAATTGGGAAAGGAAGCCATGCCTGAAATTCAAGGCATAGCAAAATGCCACCTTTGTGTTAACAGGGAAGATAAAACTTAGACATAAGATATACAAGCAGGGGTTCCTGTCGCCGATCGCAGCTCCCGTTTGCGCGCTCACAGCGGCGCGGCGGTCCCAGCACGGGCCTCATACTCCGGCTTTGGGTGAAAGAAAATGGCCCGAACCAAGCAGACTGCTAGGAAGTCGACCGGGGTGGGGGTGGGGGGGGGGGGGGAAGCGCCCCGCAAGCAGCTGGCCACCAAGGCGGCCCGGAAGAGCGCGCCCTCTACCGGCGGGGTGAAGAAGCCGCATCGCTACAGGCCCGGGACCGTGGCTCTGCGAGAGATCCGTCGCTACCAGAAGTCGACTGAGCTGCTCATCCGGAAGCTGCCTTTCCAGAGGTTGGTGAGGGAGATCGCCCAGGACTTCAAGACCGACCTGAGGTTTCAGAGTGCCGCCATCGGTGCCCTTCAGGAGGCCAGTGAAGCGTACCTGGTGGGGTTGTTTGAAGATACCAATCTGTGTGCCATCCACGCCAAGAGAGTCACCATCATGCCCAAAGACATCCAGTTGGCTCGCCGGATACGGGGGGAGAGAGCTTAAGTCGAGGCGGTTTTTATGGCATTTTGTAGTAAATTCTGTAAAATACTTTGGTTTAATTTGTGACTTTTTTTGTAAGAAATTGTTTATAATATGTTGCATTTGTACTTAAGTCATTCCATCTTTCACTCAGGATGAATGGGGAGAGTGACTGTTAACAGACCTCAGTGCTGTGGGCGCTGCGGCTCAGGAGTGACAAGTTGCCGATGTGCAGAAGGGATGGGTGATAGTACTTGCTTCTCATGATGCATGTTTCTGTATGTTAATGACTTGTTGGGTAGCTATTAAGGTACTAGAATTGATAAATGTACAGGGTCCTTTTGCAATAAAACTGGTTATGACTTGATCCAAGTGTTTAACCATACATCACTGTGATAGAATGTGGGCTTTTTCAAAGGTTGAAGATACAAGTTTTAACCACAGTGTAACAGTTTTCCTTAAAGTAAACCTGGCAGCTATAGAATACACTATGTGCATTTATAATAGCTATTTTATATATTGTAGTGTTCAACATTTTTAAATTAAATGTTTTACATTCACAAGTGGTGGGGAGTCTTGTCATTAAGGTGTGTGTAATTAGTCCAGTTGGTACTTCCTGACTAGACTGCATTTGTTTTTAACAAAGTAGAAAATGCTATGCGTATTAAACCTTGCATAAGTCCTCATTCTACCACACGTTAACTAACCCTCCAGCTGGTAACATACACTAACGGGGATTTATAAGGGCTCTATAGTAAAATAACAAGCTATTCACACCAGCATCACCTGTTACCAATCTAGTTAGTGCAGCTTTCATTGTGTTGTTTGGTCTATCTAGATTAGGTTCTGTTTTGTTTTTTCCTTGTGGAGTTTAAACATGAGGGTGAGAGTACAGCTTCAGCTTATTGGATCTCTGCCGATGAAGATGGGTTAGGTTACACCTGGTTACTGTCCTGGCAAAATCCCTTTTATAGAGATGGCCTTCGAGTGGTTTTTAAAAGTATCCTATTGAAGTTTTTAGGTCAATTATGTATGTTGACTAAATTTACAAATAAAACTTGTTTATTCAACTAAGAAAAAAAAAAGATATACAAGCAGGGAGTTCCATTTCAGGAAAGCTAAAAGAAACTCCCTTGGGGCAACTGTTATCTCTCTGAGTGAAGTAGATCCCACCCTCAGGTATACAAGGTGCCAGAGCCCAATGTTAACCATGATGGAAGGTGTCTACAGGTTTATAGGGCACCAGCGCTCTGTGTTCACTGTGATGGAGGTGTCTACCGGGCACCAGGGCTCCGTGTTAACTGTGATGGAGGTGTCTACCGGGCACCAGGGCTCTGTGTTCACTGTGATGGAGGTGTCTACCGGGCACCAGGGCTCCGTGTTAACTGTGATGGAGGTGTCTACCGGGCACCAGGGCTCTGTGTTCACTGTGATGGAGGTGTCTACCGGGCACCAGCGCTCTGTGTTCACTGTGATGGAGGTGTCTACCGGGCACCAGCGCTCTGTGTTCACTGTGATGGAGGTGTCTACCGGGCACCAGGGCTCTGTGTTCACTGTGATGGAGGTGTCGACCGGGCACCAGGGCACCAGGGCTCCATGTTAACTGTGATGGGAGGTGTCTATGGATCTACAAGGCACCAGAACCCCATGTTAACTACTATGAGAGGTGTCTACAGGTCTACAAGCCTCCATGTTCACTACAAGGAGATATCTTAGCCGGGTTCTCACAGAAGTAGACCCAACACAAGCTGGTAGTTTCAGGGAGGATCTCAGGAAAGAGGAGTGAAGAGCAAAAAGAATAAAAAAGTTTTTGTTAAAAAGAAAAAGGAAAAGGAAAAAAAGAAAACATGAAGAAGAAAATACAATTTTGGAGTAAACTACTGATCTGGTCTCAAGGGAAAGTGCCTTGGAAACTCTACCATGTCTCTGATGCTCAGCATAGAGGTCATGGTAGGAGATATCTAAAAAGCCAGATGGTGGTATGGGTTTTCCCAGTCCTGGGGAAGAGAAGACATATGCCTATAAAGCAAGCCTGGGGCAGAAAGCAGGGAACTGAAAGAGGTTACAGCAGACACCAGGACTAGCACTGGAGTGGAAACGTGGGCTGAGAGGTGGAGGGAGGAGGACCTGGAGCAGGTAGAGAAATCGGCTTTCAGCTGCAGTCAGAACTCTCCCAACTTCCTGTAGAACTAACTGGTCTAATCCTGTAAAGACATAATGCGTGCAAAGGATTTGGGGTAATCAAGCTTCTGGGAAAACAGGAACGATGAACAGGAAGGAAAAAAGGAAGGAAGGAAGGAAGGAAAGAGAAATTTCTAGAACCTCAGGCGGACTCAAGCTTCCTAACTCTTTTCACTGATCTTTTTCAGAACTATAGTTCCCCTTTTGCAATCATTGCAATGTACATCTGTGCCCTTCATAAAATGTGCAAACACTTTAGACAGAACATGTGAGCTTTGTACTTCAGGATCCAGGCACTCTCCCCAGAGTTTGTGCCACTAAGGGCTTCTGTGAATTCTTCCAGAAGTAGCTTATCTACATAAACACGTATGTGCAGTTTTTAAAATTACTACTGAACATGGGCTAGCAATGAGCACTGTAATCTCACCACACAGGCAGCTGAAGCAAAAGGGTCAAAATCCCAAACCAGTATGACTCCATAGTGAGTCTCCAGCCAACATGGGCCAAGAAAGTCCTAATCAAGACTGTTGTCTTAGACACTGCACTTTCATTGTCTTTTAAAATATGCTGCAATTTACCCTGAACGATGCAATATAAACAAAGTTATCATTTTAAGATTACTGACCATATATGAAAAGGCATCCAGGACTCAGGTAATGGCAGTGGGCATACGGTGTGGGTCCTCTGCCCGGGCATGTTCTGCATGTTGAACTCCTTGGCAGATTCATTTGCAAGTTCTCAGGGCTCTTCTGAGAACCTTGAGCTCTGTGTTCCCTTTGCTCCCACCCACCACTGCCCCGAGCCTTCTGGAGCTGTGGTTCTCACACTTCGCAGGGCACTGGAGTGAGCAGGCTTGTTCAAACACCGATTGACAGCCCCACCCCAGGAATTTCTGATTCAAGAGTCCGGGTGTGGCCCCAGATTTGCATATCCAACAAGTTCCCAACTTGAGACTCCTGGTGTGCAGGATAGACTGTCACCCCAGGGAAAATTCCTTCCTTTGAAAATTTTTATCAGGGCTGGAGAGATGGCTCAGCAGTTAGGAGGACAGCTGTTCTTCCAGAGCACCCAGGTTCAATTCCCAGTACCCACATGGCAGTTCACTACTGTCTGTAGTTCCCTTTCCAGGGGATCCAACACCCTCACAGAAACAGGTAGGCAAGCAAAAACATCAATCTACATTAAAAAAAATAAATGAATTATTTTTAAAAATTTATCTCTCTAATCCTTAAAAAAAAAATGAACTGATTCAAGTCCAGCATGGTGGCACACATTGCGATCCCAGCACTCGGGGAATTGAAGCAGGAGAATTGAAAAGTAACTAATACACTCTGACATCAGAAGCATCACCAAAGGTGCCCATAGTTTATCAAATCAGCAAAACAAATGACTGCAGATGACAGGAGATGACCGACAGGTGCTTTTCAGGACAAGGATCTACGTCCTGTAAGTGGCCAAAGCCCCTCTCCGCTCTGCACAGTGAACATAGCCTGTGTCCCCCAGCCTGTGTCTGCAGTTTCTGTTTGGATCTTTGGAACATTTGGGTTTTGGCCTGACCTAATCAAAAGCTTTCAGGGCACAGGTAAAACTTGGACAAAGTGGCATGGTAACTTGTGTCCAGACCTGAAAGAATTCATGTCATCTAATTCCTTGCCCAAATCATATTTTGCTTCCAGCCTTATTGAAATATAATCGGCATAGGATACACTGTACAGAGTTAAAATAAACAGTGGGCTGAAGGGAGACCTATGCTGTCCTAGCTCCTTTTCTATCATTGTGATAAGACACCATGACTGCTTATGAAGGAAGTACTTTTGGGGAGTCCGGTTAAAGTTCCAGAGCATTAAGTTCATCATCACGGCTCTGAGCATGTCCACAGACAAGCAAGCATCACGGCACCGAGCATGTCCACAGGCAGGCGTCACCAAAGCACCGAGCATGTCCACAGACAGGCAGGCACTATCATGGCACCGAGCGTGTCCACAGGCAGGCACCATCACAGCACTGAGCATGTCCGCAGTCAGGCAGGCATCATCACGGCACTGAGCATATCCGCAGACAGGCAGGCATCACCACAGCACCGAGCATGTCCACAGACAGGCAGACGTCATCAAGGCACCGAGCATGTCCACAGAGAGGCAGATGTCATCATGGCACCGAGCATGTCCACATGCAGGTGTCACCTCAGCACCGAGCATGTCCACAGGCAGGCGTCACCACGGCACCAAGCATGTCCACAGGCAGGCATGGGTTTGGAGCAGTAGCTGAGAGCTTCCATTTGATCCACAAGCACAAGACAAAGAAAGAGGAGGAGAGTTAATCAGGAATGATGTGGGCTTTTGAAAGCTCAAATCCCACCCCCAGCGGCATACCCTTTTTAACAAGGCCTTCCTAAGGCTTCCCAAACAGTTCTGCCAACTGGGGAGCAAATATTCAAATATATGAGCATAAGAAGGCCATTTTCACTCAAACCACCATAGTGTACATGCATAAACAGTCAGCAGAATATGAGAATGCCCATCATTCTCAACTTCCTTCATGCCCCCTGGCAAGCCGTCTCTCTACCTTTTCTCTACACCCCAAGTCTTCAGCAACACTGATCCACTTTCTGCCATTTGCACATCCTCCAGTAGGAAGCAAACTTTACCATCAAGCTACATCCTGGTTCAACTGTTTGTATTCTCTTTTTAGAATATTTTATTTTTATTTTTTATTCATGTATGTTTGTGTGTACGTGCCCCTTGAACAGATGCCCAGAGAAACCAGAAGAGAGCGTCAGATCCCCTCCCCCAGAGCTAGAGGTGATGTGAGCTGCCATGTGGGAGCTGGGGATTGAACTCAGGTCCTCTGGAAGAGCAGCAGTGCTCTTAACCAGTGAGCCATCTCTTCAGTTCCTCAGTTGGTTGTATTTTTGTAGCCAACCCATGTTGAGATTCAACCACACTCTTGGGCATTCCAGTAGCTCACTCTTTTCTAATTTTGCTCAGCATGTTGTTCCATAGCTATACCACGATTTTATCAAATTGGACTGTTGATAGATATCTGGGTTGTTTCTAGTTTGGGGATGTTACAAACAATGCTTCTGTGATATTTCCAGATTAGTCTTTCTTTGAGTACATCCTTTAATTTCTCTTAGGAGTATGCCTAAAAGACTTGGAGGAGAATAGCTGGATCACACATAGATAG